GTAACATTACAAAACATTGTTCACTATTATAATCATCGTATACAGTCTATTGAGGAATTGATAATGTAAAAATAATATCGATGATTTTGTCATTTATGTCCCATATTTCATTGAAATAACTTATGGGATTCTCGGTATTCCCGAGATTTTGATATCACTTTTTCGATATTAGGCTCAACAAAAAATTTCGAGAGCACACTCACTAGGAACCGTCTCATTTGAGGATTCATTGATTTTCCTTTTTCTTTTTCGAGGAACAATGTCCTTTGATCCAATAGGTCTACCACGTTTTTGTCGTGGGGATCATCATTCATTTTCGTATGTTCTTCAGGAACATCGATCCTAGCTGGAACATTCACAGCTGGAATATAAGACTTTGTGACTTTACTGGAATTATTAAATGCATCAGAAAGTCTATTGGCAATATTTTATAAATGAATGATTCTATGGATCTCATTATCACATTCAGAGGTACGTGGGTCTAGATGAATAAATGTTGTTCACACCATGTGAGATTCTCGATTGGTTAATTTTTATCATTATCACGGATATTCTGAATATCCTTACCAATCGGTATAAATAATGTCTCATCAAAATGACAATCCGCAAATCTAGCGGTAAATAAATCACCCGTCATTGGTTCCAAGAAACTAATAATCGACGGTGAATCAGACCCAACGTATATGCCAAGTCGGCATTGGGGATCGGAGCCATTTTAGTCCTCTGAGGAGGAGGAATTGGCACTTGCACAGCGCAACCAAATGTGCGAATGTGCGAAATATCGGGCTCAAAGCCTAATGCCAATTGCATTGGGGTATGCATATGATAAGCAGTTGGGCGTAATTTAATCAGTGTTGATGGATGCAATATTGCATGGCCCCATGCTGCACTAGTGAGTTTAGATCTCATCAGCAAAGTACGAGCAATTATTTGGACGCTTTTAATCAGAGATTCCGCCAGTCCATTTTGAGTGTGAACATATGCTAATAGGTGCTCGACATTTATTCTCAGAGCTGCACAATAATATGTGCCAGCAAACGCATAAATGCTATATTTCGCGCGCGTAGATAATAAGCATACGTAGTACCATTAGGCAACATAATTGTTGCACTCCCGGAGTCATCTGTCATCTCCACGGGACCTAGTATGGTTTTAACTTGTGTCTTGCACAATGTCACACTCGAGATATATATTTTATTATTGAATATATATTGAGTGTGTAGTTGCACTATCAAGTAGGCAATCGTCATATTTATCCATGTTGTTCATGTACGTGTGATCAAAATTAAACTCGACCTCGAGAATCTATCCTCTAAGGGAGATATGTGCATGTGGGTTTACCCAAAACGACTCAAACTTGGGAATCACACCATCAAAGTTTAACTGTTAATTGAACTTTTTTTTTGAAATATTATTTTTTCTTAAAAAAATATTTTAATTAATATTACCGTCTTGGCTGCTAAATTACTGTCTCCAACAATAATTTAACTCTCTGACACAGTAATCTTACTCTGTTATTTAACTTTATCGTCTTGGCCTGCAATCATGCAATAACATTATTGTTTGGGCCAGTAATATTAGTAATATTACTGTTCGGGAAAATAATATTCATAATATTACTTTCTGAGACAGTAATTTAGCAGCCCAAGACAGAAATATTAATTAAAATATTTTTTTCTAACAAAAAAAAAATCAAAAAATAAAAGTCAACGCCGAAGACCGGCCGGAGAAGAATTTCTGGAAAAAAAATTCAATGCCGGAGAACTGCCCAACGCCGGAATCTGGCTGGAAAAAAAAATTCATAAAAAAAGTTATTTTCTGAAAAAAAAAAATAATTTTTAAAATATTATTAAAATGGGGGTTAATGTGATATATTTGTTTAAATCCGGGGTCAATGTATAATATTGAGAAAGTTAGAGCATAATGGATGGAATTGATAAAAATTATATTATGGAGGGTATTTTAGACTAATGACATGGATATGAGTTTATTTGAAAGACATGTTTTTTTGTGGACCAATGTGCATTTAATTCCGTTGTCATGTCCCTCTTTTGCTCGTTCTGTTTTAAGTTCTAAACTTGTTCTATTTACACTTGAGGAAGTTAGTTAAAGAGTGACAAATTGGATTAAAATAAGGGTAAATTACACCCACACCCCTGAGGTATGCTTAAATAACTTTAAGGTCCCTGTGGTATCGATAATTACACTCACCCACTTGAAACGTAGTTATAAACTCTAATGTGATAATGCATTGGATACGTTATTACGATAGAGTTCTACGGATGATTGGTTTCAGGAAGTGGTGGAGACAACAAAGAGTTATGGATGATTTACGAAATGTATGGCGAGCCATGTCACCCCATAACTCTATGAAGTAATAACGACATTCTAAGTGCATTTTTCGTGAAAAAAAAATGTATAGAATTTTCGAAAATTAAAATTAGATCGAAAATCGGGATTTATATTTCATTTGAAAAGCTATAAAAATGTTTTTTTTTTAATTTCACACAAGTGTGGGGTGGGGGGGTGGGTGGGGGGGGGGGGAATAAACTTAATTATTATCCACTTTGAGCACTAATAAAATTGACAAAATCGTGCACCGAAAGGCTGATAAAATTAAATTATATGTTAATAGGATAAATTACAACCACGCCCTGAGGTATGATTAATGTACGAAAAAACCCCTCTTATTTGGATAATTACATCTACCCATCAACAATGATTTTTTCTTACACCTCCATCTTTATGGTGTCAAATTCAACATAATCATCTAGATTTCATGGAATGTGTTCTAGTTTGTACTCGTTTGTGTAAAAGTACAGTTTCTGATACACCACAATCTGATATATATATACAAACCAAAAACCACATATTATGATCTTCTTGTTTCAAAATGCGGAGTTCGAATATTGGGATAAAACGGGTACATAAGAGATAATATTCTATATAATCTCGAAAATTCCACTAAATTTGAAACTGCAAGGGTGGACGTGTAAGAAGATTTATAGTTGAGGGTTAGTTGTAATTACCCAAACAGGATTCTCTCTCTCTCTCATTAATTGATGTTAATACATTAATCAAATGATTCACACGTAATTTACGGAAAAAAAAAAAAAATTGAATGTGAGTAATACGCTAGGTACTAAATATTTAAAATGGTATTTACTCAAAAAAAAAAAAATATCTAAAATGGTACAAGTAATTAATTTATTTAAGGGATAATTAGTAAAACCCCCCAATTCATTTACTTATATCAAAGTGGATATAATCTCCTTTTCATTATTAGTGAAAACCCCCTTAATTATTTAATTAAATTAATATTAATACAATTGTTAAGTGTTATACCTATATTATCCTTAATTTTTCAAATCTTATATTTACAAAACCCTAGCCATATTGTCTGCAACACACCGCCGTTCTCAAATCCCCAACACCTCTTCTCTTCTTTTCTGGAACCGAAACTCGGAAGTATCGGCTGCGATGGCGGCGGCGGTGAAGGTGACGAAGGCGGCGCTACATCTCAACAACGACGAGGAAGACCCCTTTCTCCTTCTTTCTCGAATTGGGAATCCGACGGATGTGGGGCAAGGAGAGGACGAAGCCTGCTCCAAATCTCGACAATGACAAGGCGACGCCGCCGAATCTAGGACGGACGGCGGCCTTTCGGTCTCCCCCTTTCCTTTCTGAGGGATGAGCATATCTGATCTGCTGGTATTTTTTTTTTTTTTTGTTCTTTCGATTTTCGGAAGCATTCCTGGAATCCTCATCGGAAGACTGTCTCCACCACAGTTGTAATGGAATAGATTGTCCTCGAGGAGGAGGTATTGTTTGGAAGGCTCGTTTGTTGAAATTGTGTTCATGTTACTAAAAAAGATATAGTTGTTTTCGTTACGCGGTTGTAGTTGGTTTCAATAATAGTCGTTTTTGTTGGAATTTTGGTGTGTTTTTTTGGTTTTGCTTTTGTGGATTTCAATAATTTGTAGTTGATTCAATATAGTTGTTTTCGTATAGTAATATAGTTGTTTTTGCACAACAATATTATTGTTTTGATTACTTTTTAGTTGGTTTAAATAAATAGTTGATTTAACAAATAGTTGTTTTGGAGATGTTTGATTAAATAATTAGTTAATCTTACAATGGAAATAATATAATATATAATTAATTTAATAAATTGTGAAACTGATGTATTATTGTTTTAATACCAATTGTGTTAATAATAGTCGTTTTAATAATAGTCGTTTTAATAACAGTCGTTTTATTGGGATATAGTTGTTTTAACTGAAAATTAAAATAATGTAGAAAAGGAATATTTACAGAAAAATATTAAAAAAAAAATTATAAAAAGTTTTTTTTTTAAATTATTATTTTTTAAAGAAGAAATAAATAAAAAAAACGAAAATTGATATTAAAATATAAAAAATAAAAAAATACATCAAACTAGTGGATAATGGGCAGTCAATAGTGGGAGAGTAAATTTGAAAATAAAAAAAGAATGGGTTTCTCACTAATAAAGGAAAATGAGCTGAATCCATCCTTATTAAAATTATGTTAGAAGGGTTCTCACTAATAGTCCCTTTATTTAATTACAAATAGCAGATTTTTTAAATAAACCAAAATAATAATTACAAATATGTCGGTTGCTTAAGTTTGCTCTAACCTAAACTCATTTTCATAAGAATTTAAGATAACTGATTAAAAAATATAAATTTTTTTATTAGTTTTATTAATTATTTAAGTGATATTTTAGTTCCATATTTCTGGTGAAATAATTAAATTATTTTCCTTGGACCAGTTTTTTTCTATAAATTAGTAAAATGAGTTTGAAACAAAAACATGATCTTTTAATTTGTAGGGTATAGAATAAGTCAATCAACCCTCAATCATGCATGACTACTGTTAAATAGCCCTTCCCACGCTACACGCAACTGACAAAACAAAACCTCACTCAAAAACACACACACGCACACACAAGAATCATCGATCCAAAAAAAGATATTGGGATGTTAAAGGAAGAGAAATCGGAGCTGGAGAAGAGACACGGCGTTTGCATTTCCGACGCCGCTTTCGATCTCGCCGATAATTCCCAACTTTTTCCGGGTTCGCTTTAATTTTTATTTTTATTTTTTTCCGATTGAAAAAGTAGTGCATGCATGCACACGTAAGATATTAATTATTTGGGCTAATTCTAATTGTTCAATTACGCACACAACCCCAGAAAAATGTTTGCGGAGAATCTTGGACGAGGCATGCAAACTAGTGCAAGAAAATTTCACAAGTTGCGGCAACGAAATCGATCAATTCAACGACGATGCACGTGAGCTGGGCCGAACCCTAGTCGAACTAACCGAATTACACAGGGATGATAACAGCTCCGAAACCCAATTTTGGGTCGATAGATTGAAATCGGAACGCGATTCTGCATCGTTCCACATCAACGGCTTCTTCATGAGATGGGGCTTCGAAAAAGATTTTATTTTCTGTGAAGATGCCGAAAAGATCCGATCTTTGAGGGATCGCGTTATTGCATCTTCTGATTTTGACACCAACTTTACCCTAATTATTGACCAGTTTCTTGTCGATATACAACGAAGCATATTCAATCGTTTCCCGAGAAATTTGACCGTCCGGGCTTGTCATGTCGCGGAGGTATAATTTATTTATTTTATCTCTTAATTAATTAGTCGATTACATTCGGGAAATTCTTGATTTTGGTCCTGTATGTTGGTCTGATTAGGGATTTAGTCCTTTTTTATTTCAATTTTACACGCATTAACTATGAAAAAAATAGCATTTTTTTATCCTATTTCACTCGAAGTTTGAATTTTAGACGTTGTATAGTATGGTGTAGCTAACAAACTCGCCGGAATTTATTTATACGGACGCTTAAAAATTACCGATGCTCCTCTAACTTAGTCTTTAAATTTGTCCTCTCTCACATAATCAAAGTTCTATCCATGCAAAGTTAGATGTCGAATTAATAAGTTTCTAGCGTCCAACATAAATAAAATCCGTCAAGTTTATTTGCCGCCTTATAAAATTAAAAAAAAATCATGAAAAATAGGATCAAAAATACAATATTTGCAGAGTTACTGCATGTAAAACTGAAACATGACAAGTTAGAGGACCACAAGTACACTTTTCTCGATTATATTTTGTCGCCTCTTAATTAATTGCATGTTGTTACGTTATGTGCAGGTAATAAGCAGGCTGACCGATGTCCCGTTTACGCAGATTATCCGATCCAATATCAACAGCCACAAGAAAAAAGCCGTTAAAATGACAAACAAGAGGGTGGTGAATCAAAAGCACGTGGTTAAAGAGATTTTCAAAATTTTAGCCTCGGAGAAGCCGGTAATTACGAACCGCCCTCGGGGGTCGTTTCTCCTTGTGGGCCCCACTGGAGTTGGTAAAAGGGAGATTGCAAAGTCCGTTGCGCTTCATTGGTATTGCGATGCAAGCAGGCTCGTGGAGATAGATATGTCGGAGTATGCGGATGATTATCTCTCGTACTGCTGTAATAACTTTTGTCTCCCCTTTATAGGGTCGAAGACAAAGAGTAGTTATAAACATCAGCAAAATCTTTGGAATCGACTTACCGAAGTAGTGGCGAAACGGCCTTATTCGGTTATTCTTCTACACAATGTAGACAAGGATTGCTTCAATACTCTAACGAAGGTTCTCCTTCGTATTTCGAGTGATGAAAGTGCTGACTTCTCTAAGTCTATTATCTTCATGACTTCGAGTAGTAATCCACTAGAACTCGATAAGACCCGTGATTGTACTTTAAAGGATACGAGAGTCGAGGTAACAAGTTTGTTTCCATTTGTTAATAAAAAAAATTATTTTTTTGTTGATGTTTTTTATATGGGAATTTGTAGGGCACGGAAATAAACGGTGGTGATTTGTTGTTCTGTCTCGATAAAGTTCTTGCGGTGGAGTGTTCGCACGATCGGAAGGCTGTTGCAAGATTGTTGCTCAGGGAAATTGTTAGAGAGGCTTACGGAGAAAGATCTGTCGTTCATGCATCTAATGCTGCACTCGATGTGTTATTTCTCATGGCACATAAACAGTGTGTAAGTAGTTATATACGTTGAAACTTTGATCCTTTTCTGTCTATCACATTTGGTCCCATTGTTCATAAAAAACAGATTTAGTCCTTCATAGTTCAACAATTTAACACTTTTTCGTCCTTTTCCTTAATTTACCGTTAATCCGTTAGTTAAAACAGTGATGGGCACATGCTTGATTCCGTTAGTACTAATGGAAAATTGACGGAAAGAACCAAAAGTGTTCATTTGTTGAGATATGAGGGACTAGATTTGTTTATTCGTGAACAAGGGGACCAAATGTCGAAATCGAGGTAAACTTGAGGGGTGAAAATTGTAATTTTCCAAAATTAATAAATATATTGTTTCTTTGCTAGATTGGAGAAGATGGAAATGCTATCAAAAAGGCACTAATTGAGCACATCATATCTCCGTTATCGTTAATCGCAAAAGATCTCGATAACGCTTTTGTATGTGTCGACACATGTGTTGGATCATCAAACTTATCGTTTAGAGTTGAGCCACACGATCCGAAGAGTGTGGCCTGTCAATATTTCAACTTCAAAGACGGAACATTCGATGAATTTATCACCGATATAAAAACAACTATGGAAGCATTGGCCAAGGTATTTCGCTTACGGCGTCAATTTTCGGACTTGACTGAATCCGGACAAAATTTATCTCCGTTGAATAACTTGTTGTTAGAAGCATGCGATGGGCTACTAGTGCATGCAATATCTCTTCATGCATATAAAGAGGTAATATATTTATTGAGAAAATTACAGTTTTCATCCCTCAACTTTCCACCTATTTCACATTTGGTCCCCATACATGATTCAATAACTTAATATTTTTGGTCATTTTTGTCCACTTATCTTTAGTCCGTTAGTTAAGGCAGTGATGGGCACATGCTTGATTCCGTTATGACTGACGGAAATGACTAAAATTGTTGAATTTTTGAAATATGAGGGACTAAATGTGTTATTTATTTATTTTATTTTTTTGTGAATATGGGGGACCAAATGTGAAATCGGTGCAAACTTGAAGGATGAAAACTGTATTTTCCCCTATATTTATTCTACTGCTCATATTTTGTTACTCTTTTTTTTTCTTATCAACTTCACAATTGATGAATTTATCGCCAATATAAAGATGTTAATAGAAACGAAGAACAAGGTAATGCAATTACGACGTCAATTCTCGGACTTACCGGAATCCGACCAAGAAAAGTTAGTGTCAAAAGCGTGCAATGAGATAGCGGTGCGTTACAACATATCTCCAACGAGAGAGGTGGACAAAGAGGTAATAATTTATTTTGATTTTATTGAAAGTAGTACCACTCTATTATATCGAGTTGCTAAAAAAACTACTCTATGTTATTTTGTGGCAAAAATCTCCCCTATGATTTAATTATTTATTTTAGCAATTAGTGCCCCTGTACATAGGGGGTTGTGTGCTAAAACAATGAATTATGGGGGTTTTTATCCAAAAAAATTAATATGGGTTTTTTTTAACGATTCGTTATAATACAAGCTGACTGCTCTTATTTTGTTGCTCTTTTTTTTTCAATATCACCTTGAGAAATGATTCGGTTTTTTCCGTTTTATGTTACGCATTCATATAGATAGCATCGAGCGGTCATTTTCCTACAGCTGAAGAGCAAGAGAAGTTCAAATTCGTTAGCAAATCACTGCAAAAAACTAATAAAATTGGTATTGGTAAAGCGGTTAAGGCTATAGTAGATGCTCTAGTCGAGATGAGCGATAGTTCATTAGAATTGCCTAATTTTCCCCCGAGAAATTACATGTTTGAAGGTTTGAACCACGAGGCTAAAACGAAGCTGATTAGCTGCCTGGGCGACACACTGGGTGACTCGTTCTTCACGTATATCAAACTAGACGAGAACTATAAAGGTGGTAAGAAAGAGAAGGAATCACTTATCGGTAAAGTGAAGGAGAATCCATGCATGGTTGTGTTGATCGATGGAGTCGAATTTGCTCACGGTATATTTTACAAGTGTTTGTTGGATATTTTCGATAAGGGTATTTTAGACGATTGTGAGGGTCTCGGTGTGGAATTTCGGAGAAGTATTATTATCCTCACATCGGAGCTGGGCAATAAACGTAGAATTGCTTCTACGTTTTTTAAAGATCGGAAAAACGATGTTTCTATCAAGGCCATGAATCAGGTAACTAGTTTAGCCTTTTTTTGTGTGTATATATTGTATACTTTATATTATATTGTCTAATTAGTTTCCAATTTATATATATTGGCAGAATGTGGAAATGAAAAGATTTAGGACTGAGTTGTTATATCGGTTGGATGGAATAATATTTTTCGATCCACTTAAACCGGAGGAAGGAGACGTTCACTTTTTGCGTGTACATGGTGACAGCGGCACAGACATGAAAAAATCCCGTTTGCTCTCTTCGATTCTTTTTCAATTGTATGAAGCAAGAAAATTAGACACCCTTTAATTTCTCTCTCTCTCTCTCTCAATTTTCCTTGGCATGTAATTTCTAAGCAAAAACAGGTTGGGGCGAGTCTGGATTTTTATATAATTTTCACGGACCGGATTTCGGATTTAAGCAAACATGCCCCATAACCGACCCGTTGCCATTCATATGAATAGGTTTTTTTTAAATATTTTTTGGAAGAACTAAAAAATTAAAACAAATCAGAAATTTGAATTTGAAGATTGGAATGTGAAATTTGATTTAAACAATTAGTAAATTTTATACGAGATTCCATTGTTTTAGTTATATATAATAATATAAAGGGTTAAATACAAAAACACCCCTGTACTATGAACTTTGTATCATATACCCTTGTACTATACATAAATATAAAAAACCCCCTTACATTACTTTTTTTTCAAAAATCTAAGCAATTAGATGTTTTTGAGAAAAAATATAAATACCAAAATTTTCCACATAAAGTTGACCGAAAATGGTAGCTCAAACAACCCCTTATATTTATTGGCTTAGCAGGGGTATTTTCGTTAGATTTTAGAAAAAATATAACAGTAGGGGGTTTTAGTATTTATGTATAGTACAGGGGGTATTTGATACAATGTCTATAGTACAGGGGTGTTTTTGTATTTAACCATAATATAAAATATAGGGTAATGCTGATATTATAAAATGTATTTTTGAAAATTAATGGGAAGTATTGGAAATTAAAAATAATAAAATGTCATCACTCCTCTCCCACTTTCTTCTTTCTTCTTCACGCAGAGCTCTCCAACCCAAAGCCCTCTGCCCTCCTCGTCTTCCCTTATGCTTTCTTTCTTCACCTTCTTGCTGCAATGAATTTTAATTTTAATTCTAATTTTAGTTTTTTTGGCTGGATTAAAAATTTAAAAGAAATGAAATAATAATGGCAACAAGATGCAAGGGAGGTTCATTTATTATGCAATGAAGCAGCAGACAACTTGAAAAAGGACTGCATATAAAAAAAACTGAGGTGAAAACAAATGAGTGTATCACATAAATTATAATGTTACATACATTTCCATGGCCACACATCTTACAATCAAGATTTAGTTTTTATGTTGCACCCTTCGGACAAAAAAAAACAGAATTAACTGAATTTGTAATATTTTAGTACACATAATTAATAGAAAATTAAAGAACAGCTAGGGCTTCTTTTTTTTTCTTTTTTTTTGGTTGCATGAGAAATTAAAAGAAGAATAATTAAAATCTGTTGGAACTAAAATTAAATAACTTACAATCGGCTGGAGAGGAGAAATCTGAGCGTAGTGCTTGACGGCTATGGCGGGATCGTCAGAAGATGAAAAATGAAAAACGTTTTGTCTGTTGATAATTAGGGTTCAAAAAACACAGAAGAATTAAGGAAGAAGAAGAATTAAATTATGTTACGTCTTTACTGTTGTAATTACATCTTAATTATTAATTATAATTTATATAACAGTAATTACATCTTAATTATTAATTATTATTAATTATTACTTAAGTTTTAGTTATAGGGATTTTTATGTAATTTCACGTATAAGGTAGGTATCGTACTTTTTTTATGGGGTTCGTACAAATCATACGTGTCACATTTTTATTGGTTGATATTCAATCGTTTGGGTCCGAGTAGTACATACCCTCTCGGACCCTAGACAACCCCAAGAAACTTGTGAGAGAACTAGAGGGAGACACTTTTTGAATTAAGGGCGGGATTTAGTATATTTTAATTTTTATTATCTTTGTATTGTGCTTTTATAATTTTTAACAATTAATTGTATAAAAAAATTAAAAGTAAGTAGTTTTATGAATTTGTCTGAGAGAAAGAGTAAACAAACAGGATAAAGAAATTATAAATTGTTACTTGGGGCGGGTCCACCCTTGGTCAAGGATGGAATCAAATTCACCCTCAATTGAATTTTAATTCACTATATTAGACCTATATATAAATTAAATCGACTCAATTTTTATTATCTAATTAACTCAAAAAAAATGTCCTAAGTTTTTATTTGTCCACTTCTCGATTTGTCAAAAAATGAAAAAAGAAATCTCAATTTTGGAATTTTTTCTTAGGTGGCTGCCTTCGAACCCCTAATAATTTATTTTTTCCTGTAACAATATCCAATGCTAGCTACTCTTAAAACAATTGTAGTTGTCATTAGTTTATTTACGTTTATTTTATATTGAAAATTGTATATGTATATTCCGTCCCTCTAGTGATGAATTTCTGGCTTCGCCGGTGCTCTTCACTTGGTTCAGCACGGATGAGGTTGGTTTTTGAAAAAAAAAAAAAAAAAATAATGTACGAGGTTGACACAATAACTAGAAAATGTAAATTATGGGAATAGTATTTCAAATTTTGCAGTGTAATTACAAGTTTGTATAAACAGAACGTTCCAAATTATTTATTTATTTTTCAACTTTTGCAAAAGCCCTGTAATATTATGGACAATAAATATTAAGGTAACCTTTTCAAAATGACATGCTTTTTGTCAATTCTAGTCTTCGGTAAAAGATTCCTTCAATCCTACTAAGCCCATATATCTGATTTCATATATTTCAAAATTCAAACTGTGACCAAATTTACCACCAGCCATTCTTAAATCCAATTCCAAAGGTTTTCTGAAAAATAAAATTTCATCATCTGAAAAATATTAAAATAAAAAAAATGTCTGATTATTTACCTGAAGAAGTGTTGATCAAGATCATGACAAAGCTGCCTCCCAAATCTCTTGTAAGGTTCCGTTGCGTTTCGAAATCGTGGAATTCGATAATCACAAGCCCATTCTTCATCTCAATCCACACTCAACAAGCCTCGCTCTCCGAATCCCAAATCATCGTCAGGCGTTATTCAAAGGCCCAAAACAGTGAGGTCTACTCAGTGCACCACGACGACAAACACTTCTCCGATGAAAAAAGCATCCAAATAGAATATCCTTTTCGTGACTACACGCGTTTCTATTACCGGATCGTGGGTTCTTCCAATGGTGTGCTCTGCCTATTGGACGATCTATTCGGGCAAGCTTACTCCATCGTTCTATGGAATCCGACCATCAAGCGAAAACTCACTTTGCCTATGCCCGAAGAGAACGTCGCTTCGCATGTGATGTTTGTTCTTGGTTTTGGATTTGATGTCCAAAATAACGACTACAAGGTTGTGAGGATATGTTATATTCAAGAGGATTACGAGTATTTGGTCCCCCCTGCAGTTGAGGTTTATGCGGTTAAAACCGGGAGTTGGCGCACCTTTAATGGTGAAGTCCCGAAGAATTGTGTTGTCGAGTATTTTTGGTCGCAGGTTGTGATTTATGGGAGTGTGCATTGGGTTGCGTACAGAAATATGGGGAAGCACGATAAGGTGGAAAACATAATAATGTTGTTCAACTTGAGCCAAGAAGTGTTTGACGAAATGGAATTGCCTAATCCGTTAAAAGACGAGCTTCCGATTAATTTGAACGTCGTTTCTCTAGAAGGTTCGCTCGCGGTTGTTCAGTACGACGAACGTGTTGGGAGCAAGAGTTGCTGCATTTGGGTGATGAAGAAATATGGTGATGTGGAGTCATGGAGCAAACGATACTATGTTGATCTTGAAGGACTTGGGTTGATTCTTGGTTTTAGAGCAAATGGCGATGTGCTTTTGACTGCTAGGAATCGAGGGTTACTATCGTATGATCATATCATGGGGAATAGTAAGGATCTTGGCATATTTGGTACGAAAGACTCGTTTTACGTGGGCCCCTATTGCGAGTCTCTCGGTTTACTTGTTGAGGGAAAAGAAGCGCGGGAAAGGGTGCCGAGTGATAGTGATAGTGACAGCGAGTGCGAGAGCGAATGCGAGTCGTCGGTGGAGGATGATGAAGATCGATTTGGTGATGTGGAGAAGAGCGAGTTTCGGATGCAGCACAGTATGTTTCAGTATCTAAGTGCTCTGCTTAAGCGTTGAGGTATTCTTTTTCTTTTTCTTTTTCTTTTTCTTTTTTCTTCTTTTTTGGTTTAGTTAAATGAAAGTTTAAGACCGGACTTGGTGGCCCATTTGGCTAAGCTTAATTTGAAAAACTGATAAGTTCTTACGTCTAATAAGATGTTTTAAGAGTTGATAAACAATCTTATTTTTAGAATTAATTTTTAAACTGTTTGGATAATGAGCTTATTTGCTATTTTTATTCATTAGAAGATCTTAAAAAAAAGATAGGGTATGAGTACTTTTTAAAAAAGATCTTATTTGCTCTCCTACAGCTTATTTTAAAAAAAAAATGCCAAACACTTTGGAAAAGGTTATAAGTTCTTAAACATCTTATACCATTTTTTTAACATCTTATAAGCTTACCCAAACATTCTAATAAAAAAGAAGCTGTAGAGCAGAAGTTTGTAGCTTGGTTCTTTAGTTCATACTAGTAATTGTCCCCGTGCGATGCACGGGGCAACAAATTACATTGTTTTGATGTTGTAAGAATATAAACAAACGTTTGATGTATCGTATGATCAAAATATTGCTATAATCATTCATTAATAATTCATCAGTGGAACATTACTAAGTATACTACACAAAAAAAAAAAAAAAAAAAAAAAAAAACAAACGAACAAATAACTTTACTGTTGAATAATTTTCCAAATAAATTGAATCAACTAATACCATTAGATTGAAAAATTGAACCAAAAACAAAATCATCAACTATGTCTTTCATGTTGAGTTTAAAAGTAATTAGATTTAATAACTTACTTAACCTAATCAAAACTAAACTATCGACAACATACCAACGTAAAAGGCCATCTGTACATCTTGCTCGTAATAAAGCCCTTCTTCACTGCCTCGTTTTGGTCCTGTTTTGTCACTGGAATTAACAATTATATTGGAAAATTAAGAAACAAAAATAAATATAAACAATAAATTAAATATCCATACAAACAATATGTCTTGAAGGCCGACTTCCAATAGCTTGTGGCTCCGCCCATTTTTGCTTAGTTCTCTCCAATCATCCAGTTCTATAACATGTCCAATAACATCTAAAAGGAAATAATTGTTATACACAAAATTTGAAATCTTTGGTATAAATTAATGAAACACATAATTTAACAAAATGAAATTACCTATAAGCCATGATGTAAAAAAATGCAAACTAATTACCACACAGTCAATAGGATGAAGAAGAAAATAAGACAAAAATTCTAAAGTCGGGTTACTAAAAGAAGAAGCCTCTTAGGTAGGATGAAGAAATAAAATTCGAATGTTGTAGAGTGGATATAAATAAGAAGAGCAAACACAAACGTGCTGAAGTGGAAGAGAGAAGTTGAAAGTGTTAAGAGTCTTAAGGAAAGTCTTTGGGAATCGTCTATCTTTGGGAATACAATAATGAATAATTAGTATTTTATCATCAAAAAATAATATTTAGTGTTCAGATGTTTATGGCTGAAAATTAGGAGATCAAACAATATTTAGGAGATTTAATTGTTTGTGCATTAGAGATATCTATGGCTGAAAATAGGAGTGATTTGGCTGGTTCGGGCATAAAAAATTGATAACAATCGAAAATAATATTTAAGAGATACAAATCTTATAAAAATCGAAAATAATATTTAGGAGATAAAAATTTGATAAAAATCGAAAAGAATATTTAAAAAAATATTTAGGAGATAAAAATTAGATAAGAAATCGAAAAATAATATATAGGAGATAAAAATCTGATAAAAATCGAAAATAATATTTAAATTAATATTCAAGAGATAAAAATTTAATAAAAATCGAAAATAATAATTAAAATAATGCTAATGAGATAAAAGTTGATAAAATACGAAAATAATAATTAAAATAATATTTAGGAGATAAAAATATGATAAAGATCAAAAATATTAGTTAAAATAATATTTAGGAGATAAAAATTTGATTAACATCGAAAATAATATTTAGGAGATAAAAATTGAAAAATAATATTTAGGAGATATTTTTTATATAAAACTCGAAAACAATATTTAAAATAATATTTAGGAGATATAAATTTGATAAAATTCAAAAATAATAATTAAAATAATATTTTGGAGATAAAAAATTGATACAAATCGAAAATAATATTTAGGAGATAAAAAATTGATAAAAATCGAAAATAATATTTAGGAGATAAAAATCTAATACAAATCGAAAATATCTTTTATATATAAGAAAAAATTACAATATGACATTAGGGTTTCTTGAGTTGCCCTAGCGTTTTTTATTAAAATAATATCTTGGAGATAAAAAACTGATACAAATCGAAAATAATATTTAAAATAATATTTAGGAGATAAAAATTTGATAAAAATCGAAAATAATATTTAGGAGATAAAAATCTAATACAAATCGAAAATAGTATTTAGGAGATAAAAATCAAAAATAATATTTAAAATAATATTTAAAATAATATTTAGGAGATATTTTCGATTTTAAATCGAAAATAATAAAAACAAAAATTACAAATATCACATTAGGATTTCTCAGGGTTGCCCTAGCGTTTCTTTCTTTTATATATAAGATATAAGATTACAAAAGATATGCAGGCGATAAAATAATATTAAAAATGTGATAAAATCAAAAAAAAAATGGAGATAAAAAATAAATAAAAATTACAAAAAATATGCTCGAGATAAAATAATATTAAAAATGTGATAAAAAAAATATGCTGGAAATAAAATAATATTAAAAATGTGATATAAATCGGAAAAAAATTGATATCGAAAATAAATAATTAATTACAAAACATATTCTGGAGATGAAATAGTATTAATAATGTGATAAAACTCGGAAAAAAAATTGAGATCGGAAAAAAATAAAAAATTACAAATATGTAATATGTTGGAGATAAAATAATATTAAAAATGTGATAAAAATCGGAAAGAATATTGAGATCGAAAAGAAATAAAAAATTACAAATAATATGCAGCAGATAAAAACGAAAAAAAATTGAGATCGAAAATAAATAAAAAATTACAAAAATATGATAGAGATAAAATAATATTAAAAATGTGATAAAACTCGGAAAAAAAATAAAATAATATTAAAAATGTGATAAAACTCGGAAAAAAAATTGAGATCGGAAATAAATAAAAAATTACAAATAATATGCTAATAAAAACAAAAATTACAAATATCACATTAGGGTTTCTCAGGGTTGCCCTAGCGTTTCTTTCTTTTATATATAAGATGTATATTTGCAGATGTCATCTTTCAGATTTCAACATACACCACTAAAAACATATGCATATATGAATTTTCAAAGGTTTGATTTAGATATCTAGAAAACATGGAAAAAATGATATAACAACTTATGGGAAAAACAGAGATATTTTATCAAATACAATTGCTATGAACTTATCTATATCTATACTCCTTATAAAAATATGAATCTTATGAGAGGTTTCTTCCATTTTTTGCATGGACAATAATATCCTTTGGATAGATACATTTGAAGGTTAATTAGGTAATATTTATTAGTAATAATTAATCATTACACAAACAAAATTCTTCTAAACTAATTAATACAATACATGGGAGACTTCTTACGTTTATGTTACATCTTTTCATGTTCCTTTTCTCTATTTTTTTTTTCACCTTGTAAGTTGTAAATGACCTTTCATTGACGATTTAACCAAATGATAATTAACAATTAATTATTCATTGATTAATAAGCAATACATGAACACTACGTACATAGAATATATAGTCGGTTGAGTATCCTTGTACAATCCATTAATTGGAGCTAAGGTGATTTTATAAAATTGAAACTAATATATAAGAATAATTGTTGCCTTTCTCTTAACTTCATTAGTAAATAGTTTGGCAATTTACTAAAGTTTCATGTTTGGCTTAATTAGTATCAATAGATGCGTCTATTGATACTATGTTTTACCGATTCTATGCTTCTAATACATAATAAGTTTTTATTTCCAGGATTGTGGCAGATGGAATACATTTTTTTCAATGGACAAAGGCGTAACCTTGTATTTCAAGTTTCAAAAGAGATGTTGGTTTTAACGGGTGAATGTACAGGTAAGTGCCGGACCTGCAGTTTTTCTGATCATCTTAAATAATTAGGTTTTAATATTTATGTGACCGAATACCATAACTATTTTATTAGTAGGTCAATAAGTTTCTTAAATACATGTAATAACTTGACTATCAGTCCTAAATCATACAATATAAGATTCGATATTTTTACTAAATACGTAAGCAACAATTCAAAGAAAGATATTGGAAGATTATCTATACAATTTTACCTTTATTTCTGTCTTTTTTTTTTTGGTCTTTTGCGTCATAGTATAACTCTTGTATTATTTTGTTTAATTTTTTTATTATTTGATATCGCATGAAACGGAACAATTTTTATGATGTGAAATGCAGAGGGTGGGTGTGTTGGGGGATTATGTTTCTCAAAATTTTGTTTTCTAACAAAAGGTAGTCATCACAACAAGTAGAAGAATATGTATATGATATAAACTATCCCAGGTTCTATTTTCGTTGAACAAGCGAGAGAAAATGTTTTTTTGTTTACTCATGTTTACCATTAACATGCTACTTCTTTCTGGAAATAATATACACACAACATTTGCTATTTTCATTCTTTTTTCAATCCATCAATGCAACAAGGGTGTACACTCAGTAAATAATCAGTATTTGCCAAGTTTGCTAGAAAGCTAACTTAGGGATTTGATGAAGACAAGTTCATCACAACATGGGAAAAAGTTAATTTCGCCATCTACGGATAAGAGTTTGATGATTTGGGGAGTAGCTCTAGAAGCTTGAGAGGCGCTCCGCCGTCGGGTCTTGGCAGTGTGCGTGGGGCAAGGAAGAGGAAAGTGAAATGAAGACGGATGCCTCGTCGGCAATGGATTGAGGATAGAAGATTGTTTCGGTGGTGGTGGAATGCTTACAAATTTTTTAAGGTAGAATTGAAATTATTGGAGATTTTAGTGCCTGTGGCGACAAGGGACGCCTTGACAACTGAGGCGGGTTCGAGATGGCGAATTTGGGCATTGGAGTCGGAATTGGGTGTTGCAACGCCTAAATTATCATCAAAGAAAGCAATAAAGAAGCAGATAATTGGGAGATAACATAGAAATTGGTGAAAATTTGTTAAATTACGGCAATATAGCAAGTGAAAAGCAAAATTATAAATACATAAGAAAATTAATAAAGCACGTGCAACGCACGTGCACCTGTCTAGTTTTATAAAATAATTAAAAAATAAAAAACGCATACTAAGTTAATTCGCAGCGTATCTGCATTATTGCGTGCGGATAAAATTAGGAGGATGCTATACCGAATGCTCGTCACATGGTGTTGCGTGTAGGAGATTATTTACCTCAAAAAAATGAAGCGAGCATTCATTTAATCGAACTACAAACAATACAAGGAATTAAACTAATATTCAAGGCTACCGACAATATAACCAAATACGACATATTTGAAGCTCTCTTTATCAGTTAGTACAATTAGAAGAAATGATATTGAAATTTGTGTGTCACCAAAACTCTCCACAGCTGCATATTCCATCTCTAAAATGATGAAATCGGCTCGTGTCTCTAACGGTTATTTCTCTCTTAGTAATAATTGTTATATATTTCAGAGCAGTATGACAATCTCCGCAAACCCTCAAATTCTTTGTAATAACAATAGGCTTGTCTTCTTTAAGACTAATAAGTCCATACGCAACAGCAAGCTTTTCGCTGTGATAGAGAAGAATCTTTTCTTTCTCCTCTTCCTCCACATCATGGTAAACGAAATCGGACTCCGTATTATAACCCAATCTTTTCATTTCCGTAAAAAGATCCTCCAATTTCTTATATATTTCGTACGATTCTTTATGAGACAAATCGCCTCCGACAAATGCATGAATATTCCCATTCACTTCTATCCAACTACACCCCGGTTTTTTCTTGAACCCTAGTTCCTTTTGGTGGATCCGAACATTCGCAGCATCGTCCCATCTTCGAGCAGTGGTGTACAAATTAAACAACAGAACGAAATTTCCAGTGCTTGTGGGTCCCACAGCCTGGATTTTACTAGAAACTTCTTCTCCTAGTTCAATATTTTTGTGGGTCCTACAAGCCGAGAGTAACGCGTTCCATATATGAGCATCTGCCTCAAACGGCATCGTTTTAATGAGTTTGTGAGCCTCATCTAAAAAACCCGCACGACCCAACAAATCGACCATGCAAAAATAGTGATCCATTTTTGGAGCAATATTAAATTCTTTACTCATGACGAGAAATAGATGCTTCCCCTCTGTAACAAGCCCTGCATGGCTGCAAGCTGAGAGGAGAGCAATGAACGTTACATCGTCCGGTTTGTGGGGCCCATTTTGCATTTGTTGGAATAAAGTAATCGCGTCTTTTCCCAAGCCGTGAATACCATAGCCTACGATCATTGCATTCCACGAGACTACATCTCTGTGAGACATATTATCGAACACACGCCGAGCGGAATCCACCTTACCGCACTTACTGTACATGTCAATTAGAGCATTGGAAATCGAGATATCCGATGCGAATCCACGTACCACTGAATAGCTGTGCCCACATATTCCATGTTGCAATGCGGATAAATAAGAGCACGCTGGCAGAAAGCCCATCATGGTCGCCAATTCTGGCACAACACCTGCAAGCTGCATTTTGTTGAACATTTGTAGAGCTTCTTCGGCGTAACCATTTTGTACACATCCAGAGATTAGAGCGCTGTAAGAAACGGAATCTTTGAACTGCATTGGCTCAAAGAATTTCATCGCATCGTCTACTGACCCACATTTTGCGTACATCGAAAGAAGTGTGTTTCCGACCATTAATTCCGAATTAAACCCCAACTTAATCGTGTAGCAGTGAAGCTGCTTCCCTATGTTCAAATCGTTCAGCTTCGCACAACCACGAACTACCGTCGCAAGCATAACAGGTGAAGGACTACCGTACAACTCCATCCTCATTTTTTCGAAAAATTCCAAACCCTCTCCTATAGAATTACAGGTAACACAAGCTCCGATAATAGCACTCCACGTAACCTCGTTTTTTATCGTCAATCCATGGAAAATCTTCTTTGCGTAAACCAACAACCCACATTTCCCATACATATCAAGAATCGCAGTCCCAACCATGACATCAAACTTAATACCCTTTCTAAAGCAAAAACAATGAACAGCCTTTCCTTCGTTCAATCTACTCGCCTCCCCAATTACAGGCAAAACAGCCAAAACCGTGGAAGAATTAGGTTCCATCCCTTGGTGCTGCATCTCCAAAACTAACCCAACAGCATCCCAGTAACACCCGTGCGACGAAAAACCCGAAACCATAGCATTCCATGCCACAACATCTCTCTCAGGCATTCCGTCGAACACTTCCCGCGCATCCCCCAAACGGCCACACTTCAGATAAAAGTCCACCAACGCAGTACACACATAAACATCACCGTCAAGACTCTGTCTTTTCGCATGCGCATGAATCTTGACACCAGTTTCCGCATCCAGCAAAGCAGAACAAGCCTTGAGCACAAAAGGGTAGGTGTACTTTGTCGGAGTGATCCCAGAACCCACCATCTCATCGTACAAATCGACGGCTTTCTCGAATGGTCCGTCCCACGCGTAAGCTCTGATCATTTGGTTCCATAATATAGTCTTGTTCTTCCTTTCTTGAATTGGGATTGAGTTGAAGACTCGGTGAGCAAGTTGAGGCTTCTTGCATGAAATGTAGAGACGAGTGAGCTTGTCTAGGGTTGATGATTGGGCGCTGAAATCTTCACCGTTGGATTTGAGCAGGCATTGATGGATTACTCTGCCTTGTTTGAGTGATTTTGATTCGATGCAGCCTTCGAGAAGTTGTAAGTAGTTTCTGATCGTTGAAACTGAGCCCTGGTTTGGCATAATGTTGTGCTAGGTTCTTGTGACTGCTAATTTTATAAATATACGGTTAAGAAATTGCTATTTGCGGTTCATAATTGTTTCTCTATAGAACCCAAAATCCTGGAAAAACTTCCCAAAAGCCCCAAAAAAGCAAATAGCGAAAAAAAAATTTCGAAAATTCGAAATCAAGCTTTAAGAAGGGTTGAGCTTCGATTTTTTAAGGTAATTTCGACTATTTTATATAATATGCATTGCCCATGTCGATTACGGAACCTATTTCATGTTAAAAGCCCCTACAAATCGAATTGTAGGGGCTTTTTTCCGCAAAATATATGGGGAACTCCTAAGATGGGCGCTCATGGGGTGTTCGAACGCCCGATTCGGGCGTTCAAACACCCATGGGCGCCCATCTTGGGCGTTGATTTGAGTAGCAAACGCTCGGTTTGGGCGTTAACCGGGCGAGCACTGCATGAATGGGCGTAGAGCAGCCAACTGTACGTCCAACTTGGGCGTGCACTGCATGAATGGGCGCCCAAGTTGGGCGTTTACACGTTTCGCCCAGTTTTTTCGATCGAGAAGACGGAATTTTTACCTCGTTATGTCCGGTATCCCAATTTTCATCCGATGAGCTCATTTGTGTTCGTATATCACACCAAGAAGAATGATTTTTAAGCAAATTCCCTTCAAAAGCTTCTCTTTCTAGAGAGAGAAAGTATTTTAATATTAAACCGCAAGTAACAATTTTCCAACCGTAAAAAGCAAGTCCCTATTAAATTGATGTATACAAATATTTAATTATACCACACGTTCACACCATATAGTACCGAAAGATATTGGTTTCAGTACCGAAATATTATTAATAAATAAAAATAAATTTTAATTTTAATAACAATTTTTTTTTTAATATAAATAGTGAAGCTAGTATGCTAAGTAATTATTATTAGTTCAAACTAATTGTACTTGGGGTCATTACAATAAGCTCATCAATGGGTACTTATTCATAAAGAAATCCAGACAAAAAATACTCATTTACAAATAAGTCCACACATGATCCAGATTTTTGTAAAAGACTAAAATAGCCCATCATACTTTAATATGCTCCAATTTCATCCTTAATTTAATTTAACCTCAATTTGACCCCAAATTTCACAAATTATTCAATTTCGACCCAAAATATTTTTTTTTCTAAAAACATTTTTTTGCCGCCGGATTCCGGCGTTGACCGGCGGTCAATGCCGGTCTCTGGCGTTGGCTTTTCAATTTTTTTTTCTTCCAGATTTTTTCGCCGCGACGGTCAACGCCGGTCTCCGGCGTTGACTTTTTTGATTTTTTTTCTTCTTTCTGTAACATTTTTTTTTCGTTTAAACAACAATATTGCTGTGATTGACAGTAATATTAACTATATTACTGTTAAACACAGTAACATTAACTAAACTACAGTTTAACACAGTAATATTGCTATATTAATCTCTAGCACAGTAATATTAACACAACAAAACTCATCATTATTGTATAATAGAGTAATATTACTATGTTGACCATTCAACAAATGTAAACATACTAAAATACCAAAAGAATTAATATTACTGTGAATGACAATAATATAACTATAACAACAATAATATTACCGTCAACCACAGTAATATTACAATAATATAAAGTAATATTATTACGTTACTTCGTGAATAACTCAAACAAACAAAAAAATCCAAACAAAATAATAATATTGACGTGGTTGACAACAATATTACTATAACAACAGTAATATTACCGTCAACCACAGTAATATTATTGTGTTTACAGTAATATTACAATAATAGAGAGTAATATTATTACGTTTCTCCATGAATAACTCAAACAAAACAAAAAAAACCCAAAAAAAATAATAATATTGATGTTGTTGACAGTAATATTATTGTATTTACAATTGTTTTACTGTCAACGACAGTAATATAATTACGTTGACTTGTCAACAAATCAGACAAAATAAAAAAAATAACAAAAAATAAAAATTAATAATATTACGTTAATTTACTGTCAACGACAGAACAATTACATAAATGTAATGTCAACGGCAGTACAATTACGTTAATTAACTGTCATTAGCAGTATAATTACGTTAATTTACTGTCAGTGACAGCACAATTACGGTCAACGTTTAGCGGGGGACGTAAAAAGAAAAAAAAAACACTACAAAAAGTCAACGCCGGAGACCGCCGGTCAACGCTGGAAACCGGCGAAAAAATTCGGAACAAAAAAAAAAGTCAAAGTCGGAGACTGGCGAAAAAATCCGCAAGAAAAAGAAAAAAAAAATCGAAAAGTCTACCCCGGAATGCGGCGGCAAAAAAAAATTGAAAAAAAAAAGTCAAAATTGGATTTTTGTGGTCAAAATTGGACTTTTGTGGACAAAATTGATTAAATTGGGGTTATAATTAAGAATTGGGTATAAAGTGTTGGGGTAATATTGTCATATACATGGATATTTCCTTTATTTATAATAAATATTAAAGAGATGGGCATATTGGTGAAAGAGATATAGCCCATAAACCTAGAATAACAAAGATGATTGGTTGGAGACTTATGCACAAAAACCCAATTGTACTTTGTAGTTACGTCTAAAATATTTTGAATGTTCCATAATTCAGTAATAATGATATAATTTATGTTGTGAGGTTTTATGTTACAAGTATTTTACGCGTGCGTTATACGGATGTCAGTTCAAAATGAGAATGTAAGCGATATGAAAATTAAATGCAATCATTTAAAACATATGGTACAACTATTTCATCGAATACAATGTACCACACTATTAGGGCTGGCAATCGGGCCGTGTGAGCCGAGCTTGGGTAGGCTCAACCTCATATACTATCGGGCCTCGTTATTATAGGCTCAAGCTCAAATACCATCGGGCATCATGCCTATAGGCTCAAACTCGGCTCACATATTTTTTCGGGCTTCGGGATTATATCGGGCTTATATCAGACAATAAAAAAATTACATATTTTACAACTTTGCAGTCGGACATGTTAAAGAAAAAAAAAACTTTTCGGTCTAAGAAAAAAATCTAGAATATTCATTGAAAATGAAAATAAGATTAAAAAAATAAAAAAATAAATAAAAAATCATAGCTTGTTCATTAAAACAAATAAAGCTTAATGTTGTAAATATTTAATCATTAATTAATTATACTAAAAAATACGTCCGAGTCCAAAATGAAAAAAAATTATAAAATAAAATAACTAGAAGCAATTCTAAAGGTCCTCTAACTCTTTTCGAAAATCTTGAGACCTGAAATAAAAAAAAAAAAGATAACAAATATATATATATATATATATATATATATATATATATATATATATATATATATATATATATATATATATATATATATATATATATATATATATATATATA